TTTGTGGCCCTACTAGAACTACAAGCATTGGTGGAAATAAATATTTTATGTTCCTCATTAATGATTTCGGTAGAATGTCTTGGGTTTATTTTCTTAAAGAGAAGTTTGAGGCTATTACACACTTCATCAAGTTTGTCAATCTTGTTGAATATAAGAGAGGTTGTACTGTCAAGAAATTTAGATCAGATTTTGGCACTGAATTTACAATGAAAGAGTTTAAAAGTTACTGTAATGTGAAGGGGATAAGAAAGAGTTCTCAGCCATGGCTACACCCCAACAAAATAGTGTTGTTGAAAGGAATAATAGGATTGTACAAGAAATGGTAAGAACTATGGAGTTAGAAAAAGGCCTTGCAAAGAGATTTTGGGCTGAAACTGTGAATGTAGATGTTTATATCATCAATAGGGTACTTTTCAGGCTAAATTCAACCAAAACCCCTTTTTGAGCTTTGGTATAAAAGATCTGCAACTGCCCATTACTTTAAGGTGTTTAGAAGCAAGTGTTACATTCTCAATCATATTGATAGCCAAGGAAAATTTGATTCAAAATCAGATGAAGGCATTTTTCTGGGGCACTCTACAAAGAGAAATGCTTATAAATGGTACAATCTCATGACATCTAAAATGGTTGAGTCAATTCATGTGAAGTTTGTTGAGAATCCTCAGGTCACTCCCACTGATGAAATTACTTCCGTTTATGCAAATGTGTTTTGTGACTATGAATCACTCTATACACTATCACATTACTAAAGATGGTTCTTTGTGTTGTTTGATCAACAAATTGTTTTAAAGTAACTCAAGTTGTTAGGAATTTACCAATTCTGATATTAAAATTGGTAAATTTCGTAATACAAAACTCATTCTTTTAATTTAATAATTATACTATTAATGAGTGAAATAGATATATAATAGGTAAATGACTTAAGTGTGAAGACTAAGATTGCTTAAAAGAAGTTACATCAAAAGGGCAATAAGGTCCAAGATCTTCAAGAAAGGGGAAAGGGTAATTCAGTCAAAGTACTTTTTCAAAGGGCAAAACAAGTCCAAGAATTACTAGAAACGTAGAATGGTCCAAAGTTCTATCTCAAAGGGCAAAATAGTCTAAGAACCATGGCAAGGGCAAAATAGTCCAGTGTTCTACTACAAGTTAGTCCAAGAACAATTGCAAGGGCAAAATCATCCAGATTTTTATAAAAGGGGGCATAATAGTCCAAAGATCAACTTTAAGGGTATAGATGTCAATTCTCTTAAGTATGAACTTCAAAGTTAAGAATCACACTTGAATTTCATCTATCACCAATTAGGTTCATTCATACATATTATTTGTGTTCATATGCTTTAAGGTGCATGGTAATTCCTATGGCATTTTATTTATTTATTTAGATATATATATTTTTGGAAAAAACGATTTTCATGATAAAATATATATATATTATATTTAGTTTAAGAATCTAGAGCTTTCCACTAAATATATACGTAATATATATTTTTGTATATTTTTTCCTAGAAGTTAATTAAAGGTCAATATTACTTAAGATCAATTTGCTAAGAAAGCTAATACTTTCTATATTGATATTTTGGCATATACTTGAGCATCAATGATATATTTTTTGAAAGATTGCATATATATACACTATTTTGATAAAGTTTTAAATTTCCTTAGATACTATATATATGAGTGTGCGTCATGAAAATATTATTAATTTCAGAACCTTCTTACATATTTTTCTATACTTAAAACACGTGCATACTTATTTTAAGTCTGTCACTAATTAACAAAGTCAAAAATAGCAAGTTGTTGTTGTCTCGATCGAACCTAGCACTTCTCGATCGATTGACACCTTCATAACTTTGATCGACATACCACACCAATGATATCGACTGAACTGTAGCATATATAAGGCATAAAAACTTAGATCGACGGAAGTATTTTAAGTACATAACTTAATTTCTATTTTAAGTTTACATGATCAGTTTTTAATATTTTAATATATTAAGTGGGTCAAGTTTAAAATGTCTTTTAGAAGAAAATATACATATATACTTTATATGATATATTCTTTGAATTATCATTTCTCATATAAATATAATTTTATACTAGATTGTGGTATCTTATTTACAATATGGAGACCACATCATTTGAATGGGGAACACGTATTGTTCTCTATATATACACAAGTTTTGATCATTCAGAAGGTGCGTTGTACCATATATCTCAAATGATATAGCCCTAGTGTGCCGTACCAGAAGTTCTAATTATTTGTTTGTTTATCCATGAGTGTTCAAGAGTTCTACTTGTGTGAATTCATAAGAAAGTCTATGTGAGAGATATTTCTTATGTGAGTTGAGGACACCACACTTCATATATATACACATACACCTTATATGATGTAGAACTGATTGCTGAAGCCTTTATGGTCCATTTGGACCGTCAGGGGCCAAATAGGCATACTGACAGATTTTCTGAGCTGATCCTGAAGTGTGCATTTTTTTTAACTCAGAAAGAGCCCAGTTTATTTAGAAATAGCTCAACTCGAGGAAAAAGCTGCCGAGGTAGGACGCCTTTTGGCCTAATTCAATCGTTTAGAGCTCAGGAATGGCGTTTTCTCATTTTTGAATATTTCAGGATTTTCGTTAGAAGATTAAACGGATTCGATTTAATTTCTTTTTAGGTATTTAGTAGTTTTTAGTAATTAGGTTTCTTTCCTTATTTTTAATATTTGGAGCAAGTTTGTTTTTGAGCAGTTTCTTTGCACTACTAATTTCCTTACGTTTTTAGGATTTCCTTTATGTTGTTAGGGTTTTTATTTATAAACACATGTATTGCAGAATAGATCGTTCATTCAATTATCAATACAAATATCAGATTTCTCTGAAATTATCCTTTGTTTTGTGGATTCAAAATATCGGCTCCACCTTGTGGATTTAAGATAATTTGTTCCTCGTGAACAAATTTATCGCTTCTGCTTACATCATTATATATCCTATGTTATTTGTTTTTACATCAATTATAAATATCATTTACTTTGCTTTAGATATGGTGATTATGATGTATTCAGTGCGTTGATAATATTGTTGCGGTATGAGCTGAAAATTCAACATTAGCACAAGGCCAAAAAGTGCATATTGACAAAGCCAAAAGTGACCAAAACCAAGTGGTGAAAGGATTGGTTGACAGAACGAGTCCGATGTGAAGAAGTTGTGCATGATGGGATTGATGTGGATCAATGGGATCATGTAGTGGTTAGATGGATCGTCTAGAGGACAGCTGAATAGATCTTCTGGAGTGCGCTAGTAGGACTATTAGCTAGAGGGCAACTGAAGTGATCTTGTGGAGTGTGCTATAGTAAAGTGAAATTGAACCAGGCATTTAAGATTTGTTGTCTTGCTAGTGATCGTGAACGGCATTGAGGATTTATTGTCTTGTTGAGTCTAGAGGTTAGCCGGTGGTCATAGTGAGTGAACTAAACTAGTTATAAGACTCTTTCTTCATCGTGATTTTCTTAGCCGTGCCAAGTCCTGGGGTTTTTTTATTTACCGTTAGGGTAGGTTTTTCTTCGTAAATCTGTTGTGCAAGTCTGTATCTCTATTTACTTTATTGCACATATTAATTGCTTATATATTGCTATGTGATTGATATATGCTTGGATGTTTATCATGATGAAATCATCACATATATGTGCATATTGACTTAAAGCAATTAAAATAGATTTAGCACTTCACTAATAAATATTTTGCTAAAATATAATCAACTAAGTGTGGTTGAATAAGTTTATTATTTGATTTAGGAAGAAAAAAAAGATTTATTTATTTGTTTAAATAAACAGATTATTTATTTTTTCTGATTTATTTTTTTAAGTGTTATTCACTTAATTGAATACAAAAGCTGTTTAGATTCACCAGCTTACAATTGAATTAATATATATCTTATATATTATCTTCCGCATTTAAAATATAAAATAAGTTTGTACGCCACCCCACCCCCCCCCCCCCCCCCCAAATTACTACATATGAAATAAAATATATGCTTGGATGTTTATCATGATGAAATCATCACATATATGTGCATATTGACTTAAAGCAATTAAAATAGATTTAGCACTTCACTAATAAATATTTTGCTAAAATATAATCAACTAAAATATATATTTTGTCCCACCCCCCCCCCCCCCCCCCCCCCCCAAATTACTACATATGAAATAAAATTGTAGAGTCTCGTATAATTGAGTTGCTTGAAATCAGAGGATAGAAGAGTTACTCAAATACATAAATGCATTTTTAGGAAGAAAAAAATGGAGCGAATGTATTATTAGTTGGATAATCAAGGCCTATGGTCTAATATTGGTATCTTCTCTCCTTTTAAATTGAAAGATAGAGACTTTTATTCTTTCAAAAAAGTATCATTCTTTGTCAAGACATAAAAACACAAGAAATTTATTAGTCATGCCAATGAAAGTCCTCTGGCTGCAGTAAGGGAGGCATCAATATCATCCCATAGGGATAAAACACCCAAAATTCCCAACACCTCCCAATTATTGATAGACTAAAACTAACTAGCTAAATCAGACATGGAGGTCTATCCATAGTACAGTTGTACACAACTTACTGTCATTTGATAAAACCATTTAAGACGTACATGCGCGCTATTAAACTTAGGGAAAATTGTCATTAATGGGAATCCAAATTATGCATACTATCTTTCGTCTCCTTCATATAGCTCCCACAATATTTATTGGAAGACTTGAATCATCTATCTTTCACTTTGAAAGGAGAGAGTTACCCTCTAAGTTACAGTTTTTGATAGTAAAAACAATGCATATTTTCAATTATACTACTTCTGCAGAGTACACAGAAGGAAAGAATTTAGTAACAAAAGAGATTTCAAGTATCCACTAGTTATGCACTTTTGCTTTCTTTTCCCTCATTGTTTCTCCTACAAGAAGCATTCATGATCGAAGAATACATGCTAGATGCAATAGAAGCTCTTTAAACACTCAACTTTCAAGCTATTTGATAATAATGACAGGCAGAACGATCCACCTTCAGGCATTCATTTACTCCCTTGATCGGTACTAGGCTCTCTTTGAACATAAAAATCTTAAGGCAAAAGTCAGGTCCACGAACTCCAATGTCCTTAAATTGTTTGACATTATAGTTGTACAAGAGTAACTGTGAAGTGCTATTTTCAAAAAATACGTCACCGTTTTTCCAAATCCCTAGTGGCCTCTCAATTTCTAAGAGGGGTCCAATAATTAGTGGTTTGCTCCAAACCCCATCCTCCTCCATCACCCATATGTTAAAATATTTTTCAACTTGATGGTAATCAAAGAGCAACATAGCGATAGAATCGTTGTACATGGCGAGATCGCCCCAATGTGGTCCAGGGATATCTGGAGGCGCAGGTAGGTCTCGGAAAGTCTCATTGGCCATGTCAAACGAAAGAATCATATAATAGTCGTCATCATTTTGAATAGTCAACCAATAATAAGATCCATTATTGTATGTGTTATATAGAGAATCTTGTATGGCACCCTTTCCTGTAAAGTCAACTTCAAAAAGCCGCCATGAATCAGTCCTTAAGGTATAAACAGCAATAACTCTATAATTATATGGGTTATCTGTTTTATCATCCCAGTAGTACCGCATCCAAACAATCTTCAAATCATTAGTTACAAGATCCAACCCAATTCCAAAGTGATGAATAAAGGGCCAAAAAAATGGTGGAAGGTCGGGGTGCGGTACAGGGACGGACCTGGTTTCTCTTGTAGAAAGGTTCCACATTGCAACATGATCCTTATCAATACCATCATAAAAACATAGGATGCCATTAAAGGGTCCTATCATAGCTTCTAGATAAGTAGGCATCTGAATATAATCCAGATTGTGATATTCAAGGGGCACACTAGCAAGCTTTTTGTCAGGAAATAGACCAAAAACAATCTTTTCAGTGATTTGATTGTAATGATGAACAACGAGTTGAGCACTGTTGTGGCAATGGTAGTGGTGCTTGTGAATGAAACTGGAGCTTCTGATGAAACTGTTCCAATATTTGCACACACACCTAAACCGTACTAAGGATTTTACAGGTAATATTGAGAGAATCTCAATTATCATATTTTGTGACATTTGACAACCTTCAATATTAGTCATAATTGTTCTTAATTCAAAAGCTGAATCAAACCTTTCAAAAGAAGTGCTGTATAAATCTTGTTTTTCCTGGCACAATAAAGAATTTGTTACAAAATCCCAAACCCAAACCCAAACCCAAACCCAGTCCTAATTTTTAATTGGAATGAGAACCCTAAAAGAAATCAGGATGGATTAATTTAATTATTATGCTCAGCGACATAAGAGAGGCCAGACAAGATGACAGAAAAAGGAAGGCAAGGACTTAAAAATTATGTAAAATAATAAATTTAATATATATATATATATATATATATATAATATCAACGACTTGAACAAGATAAATACAGCCAAAAAAAGAAGCAGAAATGACGAGTCAAAAGTATATGGGGCATTTCTTAATGTGCATGTGCATTATGCTTTTCAAACGTTAACATTATTGTGTTTGTTATCGTGCTGCTCCACAAATAAATATAATGCTTTTTGAAAGGTTTCTAAGATCCACCTTTGTAAAAATAAACAAATGTTACTTTAACGATCATTTATGGAATTTATTTGATGTATGAAAATTTTATTTGATAAGGAAAAAAAAACAAAATCATACAAATTTTATTATGCAAAAACTTCATATCTTATCATGATTAGTACATATACAAAAACTCCCAATTATATGTTTAAAAATATAAAGAAAAGATAAAAGAAAATAACAGATGCTAGAGAAAGAGATACCCAGTGTCTTCCAATATTGCCTATAAACTCTGAATTTAGAAGAAGAAAGAGGTGAAACAGAGATGATTATACCCTTGGCTTTGGAAACGACGTCTTTTTTTATTTTCCTTTTGTTTTGCTTGTTTTTATGTTTTTTCCTTAAAGAATAGGAAATGACGAAGAGAATTTGACGGAGAAAAATGAGGGCTGAAAATGATCCTAGCGTCCCTAGCTGATATTGTCTTCGAGTCTGCAACCAGTAATTTCTTTTTCCATGTCATGCTCAAACTAAGGTCATCTTCTGTGTCATTTTTATTAGTACCTAATACAACAATGTTACCCCACGAATGCATCAACTTTGATTTTTTATTTTTTATTTTGGTAAGTAACAACTTTAAATGGTGAATTCAACAATTATATAAATGTGTTAAATTTTCAATTTAATGGTGTTGTAACGATCTAACTGTTTACACCCTTATTTTCCACTTTCTAGTAGAAGATTACCCTGGTTGATTTCAATGGAAAGGTACTACGACATTCCAGTGGAAAGTCTCGGGACACATGGCAGCCAAGGAAACAAGCGATTACAAGTGATTACATGCAAAGTCATGGGACACATGGCAGCCTAGGAATTGAGTGGTTACATGCAAAATCATGAGACACATGACAACCTAGGAAATTGGTCAATTCCAATGGAAAGGTACTACGACATTCCAATGGACAGTCTTGGGGCATATGGCAACCAAGGAAGCAATCGGTTACACGCAAAGTCATTGGACACATGGTAGCCAAGAAAGCAAGCAGTTACATGCAAAGTCATGGGACACATGGCAACTTAGGAAGCAAGTGGTTACATGTAAGCTACCATTACTAAATTCTATAAATAAGGCATGATGTTATAACTTAGAAAGTTTACTCAATGCCAAACCAAACACAACATTTCAATACAAATTCTTATTTGCAATGCAGTTTCATTATGTTTAGTCTAAGTCCTGCACTTTACTTTACATTAGATAATCTTACTTTCCAGTCAATTACTTTCTCAAGTAATTTGTTCCTTCCTAGCCAGTTAACCATCCCGAAGTCCTTTATCAAAGGCAAAAAGAACCCAGAGGTGTTCATTCCAGACCTCTTCACAATCATCTGGTCTCGCAGTCTTCCTTTTGGAATATTATTTAGCTCTTTCTTTGAAACTACTGCAGTTCTTGGCACGCCCATACGGTTCCATCAGAACCGACCGCTTTTTACAGCCAAACATAGTGGCACGCCCAGTGGAATAATCAGTAAAAGATCTTTCTAATGATATATCTGAGCTTTGTTCATGAAGAATACTACCAAATGAGGGCCGAAGAACGTGACGTGTACTACCTAGAGATGGCACACAAACGTGAAAAGTGCTACCAAAGGTACCTAAGGGTGGTCGAAGAACATGAATAATATTTTTGAGCTATGTCATAGAGTACGGCTCAGGTTGGTCAATCAGGTAATCAGTCATACTTTCCACCCAATACTACTCAACAATCAGCCGTTCCGATGAATAGGCCAAGTACGTTTGTTGAGGGGAGTCCTTCTCATCAGCTTGTGCATTCCATGCCACAGGCACAGACGACGCAGATGCCATATGCACAATCGATGTCTATTCTAGTGGAACAGCATGTACAGAATCCTGTGGTAAATCCTCAACAGGTTTGTCATGATGTTTTTACTAACAATTGGCATCATTTTGGGTCTTGTCAGGGTACGGCTCAGGCTGGTTAATTAGGAAGTTAGCTGTAATTTCCACCTAATACTACTTAACAGAATGTGCAGCCACCTGTCGCCATTCCTCAAAAGCCGCCTCAGGTTTTTCCCATGGCAGGCGGGGGACAACCTCTTCCAAAAAAGTCTCCTGATCAAGGCGTAAATCCAATCCGCCGGAGGAGTATTCCTTTGGTAGACCCAAACCCAATTCCAGTGGTATTTGGGGTTGCATCCAATGGCCAACTTACCCAAAGGTTGGCTAGAAAATACAAACTCATTACCCCAACCTATGGTATCAATTCCACCAATAGTGAAGTCGATTCCAATCCCACTTCTATCGCAGATGCAGGTTCCAATTGAGGTGCAGAACCTTCCACCAGCAGTAGCTCAACTATTTCCATTTCAGGTGCAGGTTCCAACTGAGATGCAGAACCCTCCACCAGCAGTAGTCCAAAAAGTTCAATTTTAGGTCCAACAGAATGTTCCACTTTTGAACATTCAGCAGCCTACAAACATGCCACCAAGGCCACTATTGGCCTTTCTAATGGCATTCGAAATTGAATGCCCTCCAAGGAAACCTCTTGATCAAGGAGTAAATCCAATCCGCAGGAGGAGTATTCCTTTGGCAAACCCAAACCCAATTCCAGTGGTGTTTGGGGGGCATCCAATGGCCAACCTTCCCAAAGGTTGGCTAGAAAATACAAGCCAACTTGCTGACTTCTCCCAACAAGACTGTGACTTGGCCATGAGGAAGGTCGACAAACTTCAATTGTTGTATATTCTTCTACCTGAAGAATATAATGGTCATAGTATTTTCTTTCAATTTTGAAAAAGAATGCTAGTACTTTATTTGTCCCAAATTCACATCTTGTGATTTTTGGGGGGCAAAACTTGGCCAATAAACTATGTATTTGGCCTGAAGATGTACAATTTGTCCTCCTCGTAAACCTCTAGACCTCGAAAGACAATCAAATTGGATGTGAAGCTTCAAATCTTCGTCTTAGTTAAATAAGTTGTTTAACAGTTTTCGGTCTAATGGTACATTCCAGCTGAAAAGTTTTGGTTATTTCAACAGGAATATCACATGGCAAATTATCACTCACATCTAAAATTTAATATGCCTTACAATTCTTAAAAAAATATCAGGCACATCAAATTTGGGGGGTAATGTTTACACCCTTATTTTCCACTTTCTAGTAGAAGATTACCTTAGTCAATTTCAATGGAAAGGTACTACGATGTTCTAGTGGAAAGTCTTAAAACACATGGCAGCCAAAGAAACAAGTGGTTACATGCAAAGTCATGGGACACATTGCAACAATTTCATTATGTTTAATCTAAGTCATGCACTTTACTTTATATTAGATAATCTTACTTTCCAGTTAATTACTTTCTCAAGTAATTCGTTCTTTCCTAGTAGTTAACCATCACGAAGTCCTTTATCAAAGGCAAAAAAAACGCAGAGGTGTTCATTCCAGACCTCTTCACAATCGTCTGGTTTCGTAGTCTTCCTTCTGGAATATTGTTTGGATCTCTCTTTGGAACTACAGCAATTCTTGGCACGCCCATCTGGTTCCATCGGAACCGACCATTTTTTTCAAGCCAACCATTAACATGATGTAAGATATTGTATGAGTGTTGTATATTAATATTAATACATTGCATATTTTTAAATAGTTGTTGCATTTTTTTTTTCCTTAGTAGTTGTTTCATTTTGTGATGCAACTGTGATGCATTGTGAAAATGCCATTGCACTGTGATGTAACTTTGTTGAATCAATATTCCATGGGATGATTTCATAGATATTCTAAATAGGAGGGGATTTGGGTTTGTCATATGCTTGATCATTTTTTTGTGGGACTCCAAGATTTAATGTCTAACAAGACTCGTAGTAGAGTTTTTCTATTGTTAGAGTGTTTATCTCATGATTGTCACATTAAAAAAAAAAGCTTTGGTAACTTGTGACTTCCCACCAAATACAAAGAAATTGTCCAAGTAAGGACTTAGTAGCCTACAAGTGGTTAAGAACCGGAGTCCCTAATAGCCTGGATTTTTTATATTTTTATTTTATATGTCAAATTTTTTAAAAATATATGAAGAAAACCCCATTGAAATTACAAAAATAGACCTACTATATAAGCTTGCCCCCATAAATTAAAAGGCCTTCCCCCTCACAAAATTTTCTGGGTCTATTACTACTTATAAAGGAGAAAATAAAGTCCAAACCACCAGGGTAGGGCAGACCAAAGCCCATAAAATGGCTCATGAAAACAAAACAAAAAATTAATAAAGGCCTCGTTTGAGGATGTTTAGTTCTATTTTGTTACAAAATATCGAGATGACAACAAAAATAAGTTTAGGTACACCTTTCTATTTTGTTTTGATCCAAAGCAATCCACAATACACCCAAAACACAGGCTAAAATGAAAGTCAAAAAGATATATTTTCAAGTGTCTTGGCTTAGGCTTCATTTGGTAGAAAGGAAGGAACACCGGTAGAGTGAAGATAGGATTAAAATAACAAATTTCTTTCATTTGGTAGAAAGGAAACATGGAAAGGATGAGAAAAGAGGATAGAAGAGCCATCTTCCAACTTCACAAATGTTCATCTCTCCAAATATGGACAAAAAAGATGGAAGAAATAATATTATAATTTTTTTTTTTTTAATTATAATACCACCTTCTATCATCATTAGACAAATGCAATATTGGCAATCTCTCTCCTCCTTTCTCTTTTACCAAACAAAGTAAAGTGTTACCTATTTTTCTTCTCTTCCATCTAACCAACCAAAAAGAGGAAAAGATAATATCCTTTCCCAGTGGATGTTTCATTCATCCCTTATTCTCTCCCTTCCATCCAATTTCCTTCGTTCTTACCAAATGGATAATTAAAAAATCAAAAGCACATGGAAACAAAGTTTTATTAGGGATAATTAACTCATTCCAACCTACTCAATGATCGGTTGTTGTTGAGAGTTAAATTTCTTCTTCATCACACATAGTGGAAACATCATAACATCATATCAACACAAGCATATATGGAGATAACAATCATACACATCCATGGACAACACAATATTTTACATGGTTCACTCAAGTCTACTGTTACATCCATGGAGAGAAAGATTTCCACTATTATAAATTAAGGAAGAGAATATACAACTACATGTCAAAACAGTGAGATATAATGCGGAATACTTATGGAATACAATATGGATAAGCAACCTAACAAGGGGTGAATAGGTTCAACCACCACTTTTACCCAATTTTGGATTAATTTAAATTTACTAAAATAAATGTAAATTAAACACCCTCAAATCATATATAAATTGTAAGTAAAGTAAAGAGTGAATTTAGAGTGACATTGAATTTTTAGCGAAGAAAGACCAATCGTTATGGGAAAACCTCGAAGACTTACGCCATCCTAAGCGAAAAGATCCACTATATATGAAGTAAAGTGCAGTCGACTCTAACTCAAGCTTACACCCTATCACTCTACCAAAAATCAATTGCTAACAATTCCTAGCTTTGTAACTCCCTCGTCTAACAGCTCTCGACCTTAAACTTACTATTGATTTCTGTAGAAGGATCACTAGTAGATCAACCAACACTCCATGAGTGTCTTAATATCTTCAAAGTGTGATATTTTCCTCTTTTTTCTAAAGTTAAAACGAAAATCTATTTTAGGACCCGTAGATATATGAAATCTTCAATCACGCTAATCCCAATCGAACAATGAACAAACATTTTAAATCATTGTGTATGGGTGTGGGTTCTCAAAAAAAAAAAAATAAAAAAAAATAATGAACTCTTAAAAACTCACACAAAAAAGCTTTCAAGGGTTATGAAAATCTTTTTAAAAAAAAGCGGTGATTAGGTGTGTGCTGTTGGTTTCCTTGATGGAGTCGCCACAACCAACAAAGCTTGAAAGTTGTGTGTGAATTTAGGAGGTGGCCAAGTTTTACATTTATAGAAAGCCACTACTACCTTTCTCTATATAAAATATAGATAGGGCGAGTAGGGATCGTCCCAAGGGATTTGATGGTGTATCGAATTGTGAAACGATGGTAATTAGGGTTAGTAGGTCGAGTGATCACACAATTGGTTGGTTGGTTGATTAAGCTAAATTGAATTCAACTAAATAAAATAATATGAGGTAAACAAGAGAGAGAGAGGTCTTGGGGTGTAGAGATCACCACCAAGCAATACTTTTCTATACTACTAACAAGTGATCAATTGAGGGTAATGGATGTGTTGCAATATGATAAGGGTGTGTGTGCATTAGGTTGATTCAATTGGCAAGGATGACAAATCAAGCAAGTATTGTCTAAACATCATGTGAAGAGCACAATATATCTAAACAATAGAGCATATATTGTCTAGACAACATGGGGATAGCACAATAGATCAAAACAAGTTATTAATCCTTCATTAATCTCATAATCCACATGCAACACAATGTTAGAGGAATATGCCATT